CCGTAGAGTACAGACGTTTATTTGGAACCAAATGTGACCGAGTCGCAAGCCTGGATACAACGTGTCCTGCACTGAGTCAGGTACCCAACGGGTAACGCACAAAATAGTTTTTTTAAAGATGTTTTTTCTAGAGAAGTCAGAATTTGAAATCATTGTGCAGTATTTTTAACATCTAAATCCTCACATGAAGCTTCATCGGATGCAAGTTGTTTTATTGTGAAAGCAAAACGATCTTTAATCCCACACATATTTGTGGCTCGACGTTGGACATGCCCGACTCCTGGTTACAGCCAGATCGTCATAACGACAGAAATCACATGAAGGCGTGGATGAGACCCAGAGATAATTGTGGGTTACGAGCTTTGCGGGTGCTGGTTTGCAAACATGAGCAGGACTCTGTAAACTCTACTCTTACTCTCAAAGGTTAATGATGTGTTCATTTATACCAGAAAGATTTGCTTGGAAACCTTTTTGCAATGATGAATGGCAGAGATGAAAAATGGCGTGCTGCTGCCCTCGCAAAAGGCAACAACAATAAATGATTGAAATCCTGAGCCTCGAGGTCTTTGGCTAATTGTTGCACACATATGTTCTTTTGGTGCTGTGGGTGTCAAGCTGTGTTAGAGAAAAGACAATCTGAGTCACACAGCATGTCTTTATGGGAAAAGGCCCAGAGAGATGCATTCATTACCCAGCTATGGAAATTGATTATCCTACATTACAGTGAATACGCACATGCTACCACTGAGGGAAAGAAGGTCGGTCTTAACAAGCGTTGACAGCAGAGCAGAGGAGCCTCTTATGTGTGTTTCAATTTGCCAAATCCATATAAGAAATAAACAGCTGGTATAGAGCGAATGATCTGAACGAGTGAAGCAGGGACTTTCCCACGTGACGGTGCAACTATTCTCCGAGCCGAGGGCAGCGAGCAACAAGTCGTCATCGCACCGCTGAGCAGCAATGCGTCACTCACGCCGCGCCGCTGCTGCCAGCTCCATTAAAAGATTTGAATCTGTGAAACGGAGACGAAAGAGATGCCGAGTAAAAGTTAATGGAATTTTTACGAGCTGAATGGACCTGATGAGGACGCCCGTGTCCTCATCAACTCTGGATCAATTTCTTGTAGAAACATTGTGGCTTTTAGTTTATTTAACATTTAATTAAGTGCGTTTAGGAACACTGCTGCATATTGATCTGTTATGTTGATCACAATTAGCCACACGCTGCGACTGGAGCCCATTTCTGTGGCTTTTCTTTCATTAGGTGACCTTGGTTTTTACACAAAGAGTGTGTCCCTCACTTTAAAGTGTCAGACTTCATGTTGAAAGCTGAGGATTCACTGATGCTACTGAATATTGTTTTTTAACAGGTCATTTGTTTGAAGGCATTGCATGAAAGTATTACAGACAAATATCAATTTACCAAACACATCATAATGAGATATTTCAAGAGAGACATTTTGTTGTAAGGATTCATCTTTTAATTGTACTTTTGATATTTGGTTTGGACTTATCCAAACATTCTCCTTGTGTTTGTATCTATATTTGCCCCTTGAGTTTATTATTTCTTTTTCTATTTTGAAATTTCTTTCTTGAGCTTCTCTCTTACTTCACTGATTACCTGCCCCCTGATCCTTATGCTTGTTGGTATTTTTGTGCTCTTGCAGAGACGGAGATGTTTTGTCAAATGAAGGACACGTCGTTGGTGCTGGAAATTTACGATGGCAGAGAGAGCTCAAAGCACTGCATATTAAGAAAACAACTTCATCCATGTGATGACGCGTGCACAACAAAAACCACCATACAAATAACTGATCTAAAAAAGTATCTACTGCAGTGTGGCCGAGGTTTAAGTCTCGTCCGATTCTACGTCAGCGTTCCACATTTTCCTCGTGTTTATCCCCCTGCACCTTTTGCCAAATCTGTACCTGGAGATAAAAACATGTAAGTGAAAACTGAATTACTCAGCTCCAATTAACACCAGGTTGCTGTGGTAACCTCCTGATTTAAGTGCACAGAATTTATCCCCCCCCCCTCAACCCCCACGCTACACTGCCACCTACTGCGCAACAGTGGCCATCACAGCATGAGTGAGTGTGGGGGGACATGAGTACTAGAAACATATAAATTATGTAAGCACTAATTAATGCACAAATGTTTTAATGAGCTGGAACAAAATAATGGAAAGTTTATAAAATGCAAATGTTGGACATTCTTGATCAGTGGCCTATTTCTGTGCATGTGTATAAAAGAGTGTGTGCAGTGTGCCCCCCCCCCGCATGATCAGATGTGACATTAGCAGAGGCCTCATCTGTCTCAATGTGTGTGTGTGTGTGCGTGCAGTCATGACCAGAAGGTCAGACAGATGCTGTAAACACAAGCTGGCGTCCCTGGAGGATCAGCCCAGCTACACAAGCGGAAAAACACGCTCTTTGCACTCAAGATAAATCGTTGCATCACTACACATCTGCAGTTGTTGGAAATGCAGACCTCCCCCCGCTCTCCTAACACTGTGGATTTTGGCCACGGCTGAGCGACCACTTGGGAACCCATCAGTCATTGTTATGGCTGGCCGTCCAATGACACTGCACCGTTTAAATAAATGAAATGGGCCACAGAAAAAAAAAATACGGCGCATCATCAAATATTAAGCTGCAGGCTCGCAGATGAGTTGAAGACAAGGTCGTGTTTTATAAGCAGCCGGCTGCAGAGCTACAGTCCTCTGCTCTCTCTGGGAATCTGGGAACGTTGCCCATATGCTCCATTAACACTGGCTACAGGGAAAGGAACAGGCCGTCATGACACCATTCCAGGATCAAGCATGTGTTGCAATGGTGGCATGTGACAGACATGGTGACCGGCTGTACCGCTTCTTATTTACACAGAAATATGAACAAAGGATTTTCTCCTCTGAGGAGAAAAGATGGTAAACAGATCTAACTTGTTGTGCAACTACTTTAACAACTGAAGATGGAGATAAGCAATGAAACTTCAAAATAAGAAGTTAGAAACAACAACACCAAAACGACTGAGACTCTGACAGCAGCATCATTCTTTTTTAGCGAACACCTCATACTATATGTTTATGTTCAAGTAGCAAAGCCCTCTGCAGCGATTGTAGGAATTATGACACTTGTCCTTCAGCAGCAAAGGAGCAAATAGTGCAATTATTCTCCAGAGGTCGTCGGACAGATGAGTCTCAACACTGCTGGATTTGTGTCCGTCTCTGTTTGTAACAATGGACGAGATCATTCTATAAATCCTCAACATTATTGGAACCGTCTCCAAAACAAAGTATCTTTGATTTGCTTATGCGTCATTATGATAAAAAAAAAAGTTAGAATAATGATTATTTGGCTGATTATTAGGATTACTATTATTGCTATTATTATTATTATACAATTGGTTGTTCCACTCCAGTCTGTAAAATAATACTATAACTACTACTATTACCACTACTGCAAATACTACTACTACTTCTACAAATAATAATAATACCTTTTACCATAAGGATTAATTAGCTCAAATACCCCCAGCAGCTCCACCTCCTCCACCAGTTCTCTTACTCGTTAATGTTATCTGTCATTTGATCCATTGTTGTTATAAAGATATGTTGAATATGTGCTAAAGCTGCTTTAACACACAAGAAACAAAAGGAGATGAACGACCTTCAGTGACCCTGAGAAAAGCCTCCTAATGGAAGCTGCAGGTAGATAATGGTGAGTGAGACATGGACATAACAAACCCAGAGCGCGGCTCTTATCGTCGGACTCTGTCCAGCCCAAACATGTCTGATGACCAGAATGAGGATGTTAGGCGCTGGACTGGGAAGAAAACCTCAGAAGATGTTATCGTGTGCTTCAGTGATGTGGCTCATTAACCACAGTAATCTGTGACAAGCTTTCATCTCAGGAGCCAGATGTGATTTGATTCTGATAGATCCACGTCTCCCTCTCTCTGCTGTGGCCTGACGGAGAACTTCGCTTCCTGCAGCAGCTGACATGCCAATTACAGGGTTATTTTTAAAATCCTGCTTCACCATAGCGCTCCCCAAAATAGGTCTTAAATAACCGGGTGTTGGATATCAGCAAACCCAGTGTCACTGCACAGAGGCAGCTGGTGCATGTCTGTGGCACCGGTTTGCACTGGCACACGTTGACAACTACATTACCCACGCTGCATGTGGATATATTTACTCTCACCAAGGAGGGCATGTTTTCAGCCCTGTGTGTTGGGTTGTAAACAAGATTAAACAGAAACTACTACGCAGATTTCTACAAAACTTGGAGGAAAGATGCGATATGAGTAAGTGAAGAGCTCATCAAATTTTGGTGTGGATATTGAAGGTATATTTAGGGGTCTGGTGTCTGGAGTGTGTGCAATTTGGTGCAGCTTCATTGAATTTAAGGCTGTTGGGCCGGAGATATGCAGATCTACTGAGTACCATAGTTTTATTGTTATTTGGAGAGATTTTCCTGCACCATTAATTTCCTTGAAACCTTGTGAAGGGTCAAGACAAAAAACTAGGTCAGATATGGCCATTTTCTCTCATCCACATTCGCTTTTCTCATAATGACCCACTTCACTTCCAGCAGACGTAGATTTTTCCTCTCAGAGAAGCCAGCTGAGATGGAAAAACAGAGCTGGAGAGGGAGAAAGCCACCGTCCTCTCCAGCAAGTGAGTGAGTCCAGGAAATGATGGAAAAACCACAAATTGCTGGAGAGTGAATCATGCTGAGGCGAATGCAGAGCGATAGAGAGCGTTCAGTTATTGTCTCAATGTGGAGAACTAATACTTTCCTGACATCAAGGAGCAACAGTGAAATTGGAAGATCTGTTTCAGGCTTTACAGACATTAGAAAAGTTAGGAAAGTTTGTTGAAATGCAAGATGCATCAAACTCATGCATCTTTGTGGCACAGTGACACACCTGGAGAACAGTGGAAAGTCACAGGGCAGAAAAGTACAGTTAAGAATCTAACTCCACAGTGGCAACTCTTACCATATCGGTCACGGCCGGCTTCTCAAACATCTTCTTCAGACTTTCAAGAGGGATGTCAAACCTCTCGATCCTCTTAGCAGCCTGCAGGTCCTCTCTGAGCACCGGCTCATCCGCTGCCTCTACCTGCGGCCCACAGGGACGACCGACAGCGAAGCCCGAGGTCAACTCCTCTCCATTTCCTGATTGAGTTTCCATTGTTGTCCAGAAACTGTATCCCTCCCCCCCTCCACCTTTTCCCCCTCAGGCTTGAGAAGGGGAAATCTATTGTATGAGGGGTGAGGAAGTGAGGGAGGTATGACGAGGGTGAGGAAAAGAGATGGAGATCTGGCCGGGGGTCCGTCTTTGTCTGTCGGGCTCTCCGACACACACAGGGAAAACTGGAGGAAAGAGGAGGAGAGAAGAAAAAGTTTTTCCCCTCTCGCTCTGCCCTGTAATTACTCATACACACAGAAGCCTGGGTAAACATGTAGGCTGAGGAAAGCAGATTGAGATACGAGTCGTAGCTGCAGAACAGAGGGATCGAGGACGAAGAAAAGGAAAAAGAGATTCTGTGAGGTTCATAACCCTGTTTCCTTCAGACCCTGTGTACGTTTCAACATTTTAAAAACATACTTAACATCTGCTTGATACTTGATTTTGAGTTAATAGAGGAAAATGTATGAACTGAGGGCCTGTTTCACAGTAAAACATGGTCCATATCTGTTTAATTAATTTAATTAATTAATATCATTCATTATTAGTGACAGAAAATAAAGTTCAAGTGAAGTCTGTCTTCACCATCTATGACATCCATCTATGCAGTTTAGGGGGATTGTTCATAAGACATATGTCCTGTGGTCATCAACTTTGCTGCTAATATTAGTACTTTATTAAGAATAATAATAATAAGTGCATTAAAAAGTATAGTCTTTCTGTTTAAATGGAGAAAATGAGTCAACAAGTTAATTCCGTTAATTTCACAGCCACTGTAACATCACTATGGTTTTAATAGCATCAGGCCAAATGAACGTCCGTGTTGTATCTTATCAGAGTCAAAGACTGTAAGCAATCGTTCCACTTCTTCTTTTGTTTAACGAGACTGGACAGTTCAAAAGAAGGTTGGTGTGAAAACGCTCTGAAACATCAGGTCTAGGAGGGAAGGAAAAGCTCATTATTCCTGATTAGACCAAGGAAGCCTTGTAAGAACTGATCCCTGGTGACCTGCCCTGCAGCCATGATGACTAATAGATTGTTAATTTTTCTCCAGCCACACCAGCACTTCCTAGGGAGTGTTTTCCTGAAAAGAGAACACATTATCACAGCTTCCTCTGCCTGACTCCCATTTCAGCTGCATCCTCTCTGATCCTGTCACTACATCGCACCTCATTTTCAGCCTTTAGGAGGTGGGTTTGTCAGCTCGTTTCAAAGCGTTCACCCCGTTATTACTCCCATGACTGCGAAAGAGGAGCAGGGGTCAAATGATGGGGAGGAGAGTAAAAGCGGCTGACGGAGGAAGGCGAAAAAGAATGACGGCTTAATTACAGGATCGGGTGGAGACAAAGACGGTGGAGATATACTCGTTCACAACCACAATAGATCCGTCAACACACAGAGAGGGAGAGGAGCGGAGAGGCAATCCAGATAATCCAATCTTAATGAATGAACGGTCATGATCTATGCATGTGATAGTACTTTGGAGGACAGAGTATCACTCCATTTATACCAGTGGCAGATACATTATTCAGATTGAGACGGAGGTAGGTATGTGTGTCACTTTCTGCTGGATCCTGTGTCGTCCGAGGCCGCTCATTTTACACTCAGTCACCTTTACATGAAAAACTAGAAATACTCTGTTATATCCAGTGCAGTTTCCGTCACCATGACCTTTGAGCATTACATTTTCAGGTCATCTACATTTGTAGAGATTCTCTCGATATGGTCTTGAGATATTATATTCAAGAAAAGCTAAATCATGTTTGTGAGGCCACCTTGACCGTGACTTTTGACCTTTGGCTCCAAAAATCTAATGATTTATTCCTCAAGTTCAAGCGAATGTTTGTGCCGAATGTGGACGGATTCTCTAGAGACGTTCCAGAGGTATAGTGTTCACGACAATTAGACGTACGGATGGACAGACAGAAAACATAACGCCTCTATTCTCTGGTCTGTCGCCGGTAAAGAGACTTAAGAAATCAAATCAAATCAAAATGCAGTTTCATTTCCAATGATGCCACTTTGAGTTTCTATTAACTCCCCCCCGCCCTGTGTTATTTGATTTCAACCAGTGAAAAGAGTCCATTTTGGTAGAAAATAGGCTGAAATAATGGAGAATTCTGGATTTGTTGCCTCGTGAAAAGACACACACACACACACACACACACACACACACACACACACTGTTTTAAGTGCAGGGCTATAATTCAGCGTAGCAGCAAACACAAAGCTCCAGAGCGGCTTCGCTTTAATACAACAAGACAATATTTCAGGCCTAGTGGGGCTTCAGAGAGACTTCTCATGGAGGAACCACCGGGGTAAAAACACTGTCTGCTTCTATTAAATAAAAGATGTGGCAGCTTCCGTGTTTGTTCCCATGTTGAATTTCTGTCCAGGGCCTTTCGGATCGCTTTTATTTAGAGGACACACTGAAATACCAAATGTCCCATAAGATAAGAGGATGAGAATAACAGGTCTCATTTCTATTTGGTCTAAAGAGGCTGAAAATGCACGCACACATTCACAAGTATTAAGATTTAATATGGCATCTACTTACAAATATGTCCGGTCTAGTTCTGGAAGTGCATAAATCATATAAACGGCTCACAGTCATGAGAGATTTTTAGATTTCAGTTTTAGCTAGAGAGGACGATGGCTTTTCAAACGTTTCTATGGAAACTGTTGCCCTCCGCCAGTGTATGATGCTGAAATGCATCAGATAAGATAAAATTAAGAGGTTTTAATGTTGATGTCATGTTGCGAGGGGGCGTGGTTGTGCTGAATCAATTGTTACCATAGGATTAGTTAAACTGATCCTCTCTAACTTCATGGCAGTAGTGAATTACCTGCAGTTAGAATTCCTGGAACGACCTCGTCACTGTACTTCCTGCCATTCGCACCGTGAAACTTCCTGCTCACTTTCGAGGCAGCAGTCAGCGAGGATCAGATTTCAGCCACTCCAGTTACCTGGTCTTCACTTCTCCTTCAGTACAACAGGTCACCTGATCGGACCAGAGGAGGCAGGTGGACTAGAAACAGTCTGGTCAGTGAAAACAGAACGATGCATGGAGGCTGAGTTTTTTCAGGTGAAGATGATGCACAGACATATTAACTGTAATCATGCTCCTGATGTCAGATGTAGCTACGTCACTAAGTCTTATAAATATCTTGATCCTTAAAGTCTCATGTGCAAATGTAATATTTGACAATATTATGAACGTCCATATATGAAAATTCAATAAAAACAGATATGTCAAACATATGAGTTATTTTTACCTAATACATTTGTTATGTATGTATAATATATACTTTGACATATATGCCATGTATATAATATTTATACATTTAACATATTCATGTGTATAGAAGTGCAATTTACAACCTACACATACATGAATAGCAAATATTCATATTTGACCAAAATTACACATACTGTATATATCTGTTTTAACATTGATAATATAAAGAACTTAATAATAAATATATAAGATATGTTTTTGGTCAATGTAACTCAATGAACATGGACATATGTCCTGTGGTCATCAACTTTGCTGCTAATATTAGTACTTTATTAAGAATAATAATAATAAGTGCATTAAAAAGTATAGTCTTTCTGTT